TATCTCCTGACCCCATGATCCACCCATCTCGGCCTCCCAAATGCTGCAATTACTGGCGTGAGCCGCCACACTTGGCTGACTTGTGTTTTATCTTAACCACGAAACCATTCCTCCTGTAGCTGAGGAGAGCATCCCTCCACCCCATTTGCTCACAGTATCCTATGATCTTGGTGCTCTAGTTGCATTTCCTTTGGGTTTTCCTTGTTCCCTTCCCTGGATTGCAGAGTTAAGTTTATGATTATGAAATAAAAACTAAATAACAACAAAAAAGAAATAACACCCAATTTTATCAAACTATTCCAAAAAATTGAAGAAAAGAGAATTCTTCCTAATTCATTCTATGAGGCCAGCATTACCGTGATACAAAACCAGTCAAAACCAGACAAAAAAAGAAAATTGCAGGCCAGTATTGTTGATGAATATAAATGCAAAAATCCTCAACAAAATGCTAGCAAACTGAATCCAGCAACATATCAAAAAGATAATACCATGGTCCAAGGGGATTTATACCAGGGATGCAAGGCTGGTTTGACATACACAAATTAATAAACATGGTATGTCACATCCAACAGAATGAAGGACAAAAACCATGTGATCTTTGTATTCGTCCATTTTCACTACTATAAATAAATACCTGAGGCTGGGTAATTTATAAAGGAAAGAGGTTTAAGTAACTCACAATTCCACGTGGCTGAGGAGGCCTATGGAAACTTAAATTCATCGCAGAAGACAAAGGGGAAACAGGAGCCTTCTTCACATAGCAACAGGAGAGAGAAGTGGAAGCAGGGGAAATGCCAGACACATATAAAACAGTCAGATCTCTACTCCAAGAATGTTACGAAAAAAATTTTTTTAAAGAAAAAAAAAGGTCAAATCTCATGAGAAGTCACTATCATGAGAACAACATGGAGGAATCTGCCCCCATGATCCAATCACCTCCCTTCCTCAACACATGGGGATTACAGTCCCTCCTTCTACATGTGGGGATTACAACTCAAGATGAGATTTGGGTGGGGACATAGAGCCAAACTATATTAACCTTCTCAATAGATTCAGCAATTGCATTTGCTAAAATTAAACATCACTTCATGATAAAAACAAATCTGGCATAGAAGAAACATACCTCAATATAATAAAGGCCATATATGACAAACTCACAGCTAACATTATACTGACGAGGGAGAAGCTTAAAGCACTTCTTCTAAGAAGTGGAACCAAAGTTGCCCACTTTCACTTCTACTAATCAATGTGTAATACTGAAAGTCCTAGCCAGAACAGTCAGGTAACAGAAATTTTAAAAAGACATCCAAATTGGAAAAGAGGAAGTTAAATTGTCCCTTTTTGCATATGACTCAATCTTATAGTTTAAAAACCTAAAGACTCCAGCAAAAAAACTCTTAGAACTGATAAATGAACTCAGTAAAGTTAGAGGATACAAAATCAATATTAAAAAGTCAGTGGTATGGCCACGCATAGTGGCTTACGCCTGTAATCCCAGCACTTTGGGAGGTCAAGGGGTTCATTCTTCTGAATGGCTGAGTTATTACTCATGATGTATAATAATTTATTCAATCATTTATCTGTAGATGGGCATTTATAATTTCCAGTTTCTTTTCTCCCCCACTATGAACAATGCTGCAATAAACGTCCTTGTATATATCCTTATATATCAACACTAATGGCTTTATTCTCATGGAATAGATTCCCAAGAGAAGAAGATATGTGGGGCATATTTTTAAAAACTTTATTGGAAGTACATTTTTAAATCTTTATTGAAGTTTAACATTGTTTTAAAATATAAAAGTTTTATTGAAGTTTAACATTCTTTTAGAACATAACATAAAGAAAGATAAAAATCATAGGAATATAGCTTATTTTTCACAAAGCGAATTGTCTTTGTGACTAGAACCCAGATCAAAAATAGAAAATTACCATAATCTCAGAAGTTCCTTTCATGCCACCTTCTAGTTACTAACTCCCCTCTAAACTGGGCATTGTGTGGACTTCTAAGACTATATATATTATAGATTTACCTTTTTATAAAATGGAATTTTATAAAATTTCTACTTTATAAAATGGAATTTTTAATACTGTCAGATTGCTTTCCTAGGAACTTATAATACCTATTTTCTTTCTTTTTTTTTTTTTTTCCCTTCAGGTTCCACAGTGATTTTTCTTTTTTTTTTTATAATACCTATTTTCACCATCAGAGTGTGAGGTAAGATCTTTCTACCACATCTTAGACAAAAACATACCATTGCTTTTTATTTTTTCTGGTTTCATCATTAAAATAATTTCCCTAACTACAAATTAATTTATTTTAAAAATGTGTTGGCTCTTTGGATTTCCTCTTCTATTATTTGTCCTTTTTTTTTTATTTTTTTGAGATGGAGTCTCGCTGTGTTGCCCAGGCTGGAGTACAGTGGCCCGATCTGAGCTCATTGCAACCTCCACTTCCCGGGTTCAAGTGATTCTCCTGCCTCAACCTCCAGAGTAGCTGGGATTGCAGGTGCCCCGCCACTACGCCTGTCTAATTTTTTGTATTTTTGGTAGAGAGGGTTTCACCATGTTGGCCAGGCTGATCATGAACTCCTGACCTCAGGTGATCCACCTGCTTTGGCCTCCCAAAGTGCTGGGATTACAGGCATGAGCCCTATTTATCCATTTTACAATTAGCTTGGCTTATCAGTTTGTAAGAGCCTTTTATATATATGTTGACAAAGATGTTCATTAGAGTCACTGATGTATTGATGATCTTCTGAAAACTACCTAGGGGTATGTGTAGTTGAATTTGTGTGGTTGAATACCAGAGTTAAAGGAACTGGAGATACGCATACCAACCTACATAAAAACTTTGTTGACTGGGGGAAAAGCATGATGTAGGAAGGATACACAGAATGTGATCACATTTAAATTTTAAAATAATACTGTACTTTTTGATATCTACCTATATAGTAAAATAATATAAACTTGCATGGGAATGATAAACATCAAATACACAATAGTGATTAGTTATACAAGAGAGGGGGAGGGGAACAGGGAGGGTATATGGGTATTCAGTTGCATTGGTAATGCTTTAGATTTTAAACTGGGCAATAGGTACACCTAGTTTAATACTACAACTGTGTTATATTTTCTATTTTTTGTACATCTGAAATATCTAATTAAATAACTAAGACAAGTATTAGCCTCAGATTTTGAGATGAGGAAACTGAGGCTCAAGAACTTAACTTGCTGTGTCAAACTTCAGAGCTAGGCTATACTGTTTCTACATTATTGTGCTGCTTAACAAAACAAAACAAATGTGGACTCACCATGTCAAAGGCAAAGCCATATTCCTAGGGTTGGTCTCCATAAAGACAGAATCAAACTGTACTCCCAAGTGTTTGCTTAGGTACATAATAGCCACTGCAAATCACAGATTTTGACCTCTAATAACTGCAGTTCAAAGCCCAAGCCTAAAAGTAGTTGCTTTGCTTTTGGACATGGCACAAAATATTTTTCTAGCAGATAAAATATGGCCATTAAAATAAGCCTTTTACTCAAGAAAAATGAAAACAAACCACAGCTCCCAAGTCCGTGAAAGCAAACCCAAATGTGAGTTTAACAAGCCTCAGAGAGTCCCTGTTGGTTTGTTTCCTGGTATTCCAGGGGCAGTGAAGCAAAACTAGGGGGCAGAATGGGAAGAGCAGGGAAGTTTTTTGGTAAAAATCTTTTATAAACTTAAATTTGTTTTTGTTTCATAGAGACAGGGGTCGCACTATGTTGCTGAGGCTGGTCTTGAACTCTTGGGCTCAAGCAGTCCTACTGGCTCAGCCTCCCAAAGTGCTGGGATTAGAGGCATGAGCCACCCGCCCAGCCTTGTAAATGTTTTTGTAAAGGTATTATGCTGAGCTTTCAGTGGTAAAGACTTCAAAATACAAGGTGCTCAAAGAAGGAAGGAAGTCAAAGGCTTTTTAATACACCCACCCTGCCACCCTGCACGTTGCCTGTCAGGGTCCTGGCCTGTCCAAACCTTCTTCCCTTACTGCTCTGCTGCCCCTCAGTTTCTCTTTCCTGCTGTTAGAACCTGGTTCTGCCCAAAATCTCTTGGAAATATGTTAATGGCAGGGAGATAGGAGTAAAGGGCATAAGTCTTAGTATCAGAAAAACCTGGATTTGAATCCTGCGCCACTACTGAGCAACTCACTCAACCTGAGACCGTCTATCTAGACCAGTGCTGTCCAATGGAACTTGGTGTGGTGATAGAAATGTTCTATATCCACACCATCTGGTATGATAGCCACTAGCCACATGTGACTGTTGAGCACTTGAAGTGTGGCTAGTGTGACTGAGAAACTGAATTTTTTATTGTATTCCATTTTAATTAGACATGTAACTAATGGCAACCATATTGAAGACAGCAAGTCAAAAAATGGAGAATGTCCCCTCACACAGATCACTACTGATCTTCTGTGTGAGGGGACATTATTTGTGAAATGCCTCAATACAGTCTACTATTAAACTATATCTTGCCTTGAAAGACTTTCAGAGTATTGAAATGACCAACCCTCAGGCATTTAGTATACTGACTTGGCTGGTCTTTGTGCAAACACCTGCACTGGCAGATTCAGTCACAGAAGCATTGACAGACACTGGTGCCACATCCAGGCACAGATATGCAACTCTGACTTTTTAAACACTGTCTAAGGATGCACCTGATAATCTGGTGTCAAGTTTGCTTCTTTTTCTTTTCATTTTTGTCCTCGCCATGTTAATTAAACAAAACAACTATATTTTCTGAAACCCACATTTTAAATTAAATTATTGTGACACTATCTGAAGTTTCCTTAAGGTTTCCAAATAAAAAATGTTTCTCATTTTCTTCAGTTAAACTAATTGTATCACTGTGTACAAATTGCTTTAAACTAGAGAAACAGGCTATCTGCACAGGTTAAAAACACATAAAGACTTAACCATACATATAAACACAAATCAAGCGGCATCCATTTTATTTTTACAGTATTTATTATAGTAAAGGTTACTTTTGTAAAACATCAGTGACTTTGGTCCATATCTTAATTTCCATTTGTCTTTAAAACATTTTACATTATTTGCATCATAAATTGTAATTTTTATGACTGTACCTAATTGATTTTTTTCCTGACCCTTGGAATGTTACAGTTTCATGTAACTTTTAAAAAAATAAAAACATTGCAGACTAAATGTACTAGTAAGTACATACTGATCACATTTAATTACCACAGTAATTAAAAAGTCCTGATCATTTCTTCTTAAGATTAAAATTCATTAACTTGCAATCTCTGGGATTTCTCTATTATCCACAATGAGTGTATGAATAATCCCTTCTTTCCGCTTCCCACTACTGACAGCCTTTATGTAACAGTCGTGGTTCCCGATACTGAAGTGAGTTTCAGTCCCATCATCTACAAACTCACCCTGATCAAAAAAAGAAGAAGGAATTAGTGTTGCAGAAACATTCTCTTTGTCTAGAGCATTAACACCATCTAAAATTACTAGTGGTACAATAAAGTAATGTATTAGTTCAACAATCAGCTTTGAAAAACAAAGTCTAAAGCTTGTACTTAGATGCTTTTATATTTCTGTTGTGAATTAAAAGTTTCCTTTTTATAATCCCTACAATCCTTAAAAATCTTAAATTCTGAGGGGGGGTGGCAGATATAAACCTCATGGCTATGTGTCTATAACATACGCTTTCAAAAATAAAAATGATAAACATTACATTTATTAGTTATTTATAATATACCACAAGTGATCTACCCACCTCAGCCTCCCGAAGTGCTGGGATTACAGGTGTTAGCCACTGCACCCAGCCAGGGATGGGGTGTCCTTAACCACTCCGAAAATCTGATTCCTTAGGATATAAGGTGGCTTCCAAGAAAATACACAGATAACAAAACCAAACACCACTAAATCTATACCTGTTCTGTTCAGTACAGTAGCCACTGGCCACATGTGGCTATTGGGTACTTGAAACTGACTAGTCTCAAAGTAGATATGCTGCTTAAATATAAAATAGACACTGGATTTAGAAGACCTAGTATGAAACAAAAAAATGTATAAAATAATTTTTTACATTGATTACATGTTAAATTTTTGTTGATATATTGATTTAAATCAAATATATTAACTTCACCTAAATTTTTTTTTCAAATGCGGATACTACATAAATTAAAATTACACATGAAGGTCATATCTGTGCCTCATATTATATTTTGATTGAGCAGCAGTGGTCTAGAGTAAAAAGGTTAGAGCCAGGCAGCACAGGGAAGGAAGGAAAGAAGAAGAGACTTTGAGGATAAAAAATAATTTACTTCAGAAAGCAAAGAAACTGACAATCAGATTTAAACCCTGGCTATTAACTTCTTAGCAGCCAGAGTAGTTAGAACAAGGGCCCCAGTTAACAACACCAAGCCAAAGAAGGCACAGGATGCCTCAGGGAGAGAAGCCTTTTCCTAGCTCTGGGAAGAATGTCGCCATTGGCTCTTTATGGGAGGTGTGCTGAATACCACAAGCATGTCCTTGGGTGCAGTGTGTTCCTGTCCCCATTTTTAACACTGAGCCTTGGAAAAAGACTTTGGAGGAAAAGGCAAGGGTTAGGTAATATAATCTATATAAGTAGCTTCTTGGCAATTAGACAAATATGTAATTTTGGCATGATGCTTTGAGATGAAAGAAAAAGGAGAAAAGCTGTAACTCACAGGCAGCAAGATGAGTTTGTTGTGGGTATGTACAGTACTGGGGAGGGCTGACCATATATGAAGCTGCCCAAACTGCCCTGCAGACTAGGTTGTAGTTACAATGAGAACGCAACTGGGTTATAAAGAACTATTTTCCAAACACGCGGTTTCCTGTTAATTACTACAGAACAAAGACGTGGATGAACATTGTTTTCACCTTCCTACAACCACAACAACATTCTTTGTGTGTGTGACAAGGTCTTACTCTTGTCACCCAGGCTGAAGTACAGGGGTTCAATTGCAATTCATTGCAGCCTTGAACTCCTGGACTCAAGCAACCCTCTTGCCTCAGCCTCCTGAGCAACTGGAATCAGGCACATACCACCATACCCAGCTAACTTAAAAAAAATAATTTGTAGAGATAGGGTCTCGCCATGTTGCCCAGGGTGTTCAGGGGCTCCTGGCCTCAAGTGATCTGCCCATCTTGGCCTCCCAAAGTTACAACTGCTTTTTTTGGAGACAGGGTCTCACATTCTGTTAACGAGACTGGAGTGCATTGGCGCAACCTTGGCTCACTGCAGCCTCAACCTCCCTGGGCTTAGGTAATCCTCCCACCTCAGCCTCCCAAGTAGCTGGGACTACAGGCATGTGCCACCATATTCTGCTAATTTTTGTATTTTTAGTAGAGGGGGGTTTTGCCATGTTGCCTAGACTAGTCTCAAACTCCTAGGTTCAAGCAGTCCACCCGCCTCAGCCTCCTGAAGTGCTGGGATTACATACATGAGTCACTGCACCCAGTACAACCACATTCTTAATACCGTAAAACAGCATTCCCTCTACATGTGCACTGGAGAATTTCTTGAGTGTGGGAGGAAATGCGATTCCAAAGTGCTGATTCTCCATCTAGAGAATTCCAGGGTAGGAAAGAAAGAACAGGAAGAACCACTAGGTATGGCATTGGACACACAGTAGGTATCTGATCCATGTTAGTGGTAACTGGAGTTTTTCCAAAGGGGGCCACAAAATACTGAAGTGCTCTCCAAGCCTCTCTGCATAAAACAAGTCTCTAGCAGTAGATTTAACCCAGAGAGCAGCTCAAGCACTCAATTTTGAGTGAGCCCAAATTAAATTCTCCAGGACTCAGAAACAGAAAAGCATTCATCTTTGTAACTTTTAAATTTTAATTTATTAATTTTTTTAGAGATGGAGTCTCACTATGTTGCTCAGGCTGGCCTAAAACTTCTAGGCTCAGGTGTTCCTCTCACTTCAGCCTCTCGAGTAAGAGGCAACTACAGACCTGAGCTACCACATGTGGCTTTATCTTTGTAATTTTTGATTTCTGGCTTTGTCACCTCCTCAGAAACAGCTATCAGACCAAGTAGGTTCTAGGTGGTCTTCTGAGCAAATGAATCTCAGACCTCCTTTCCTCCAACTACCAAAAGCACCTTTTCTCAGTGTCTTATACCTATACTATACAAATGAGATAAAAGCAACAACATGCAAAATGTGACTAGAGAAGAGAGCTTCCCATTAACTCCAGCTCTGATGTTCACATCTGGAGCCAGCATGAAAGGTGGGTACCAGGTGATAGCACTCCCCACTTGTCCTGAAGACCCCATAAGACTTAGGGATTAGCATCCAGTGATTTCATCTCCTAGTCCCTTACTTTCTGCTTCCCACTCTCTCCCGTGTGCACACTATTACTGTTTCGTTCCTGCTTGAAATTCACTCCTCCATTCACCCCGTCCACAGCCATACTAATACAAGCACCTGACAGTAAAAGCTGAACACACTGGAGTCTACATGGGGATTTCAGTGTGCCTGGCCACAGTGACTGGAGTAGCCTCTTTCTCCCTGCATTGGCACTGCTGGTCTAAAGTTCCACTTGCCCTCTGGGGTTCATGAGAGTGCCCTTTCCTGTCTGAGTACCTTCACATCATCTGATACTGTATCACTCATTTTACAAAAATCTTGCTTTCAGAAAAGAACCATCTGCTTTGAGTGTATGGTATAAAGCATTCCTAAAGTGTGATCTGTGGACCAGTGGCATTAGCAGCACCTAGGGAAATGTTAGAATTAGCATTTTAACAAGATCCCAGGCGATTTCTGTGCATGAAAGTTTGAGAAGCAGTGGTATATAATGCACCACTTAAAATGGTTAAACACCAGAGAACACCAGCCTTTGGGGATATAATTTTTTAACTAGGGGCTCTTTTGAGGATAGAGGCTGGTCCAGGACAGGAAAGGAGAGTATGAAGTTTGTGCCAGCTAAGAACATAAATTGTTTCCAAACTCACGGAACGAGGCACTGTCTGGCAAAGGTTTTGGAATCTGGGTAACGAGTACTTAACCCCTTTTTTGTTTTTATCAAGAGGACTTTGGTTCATTATAAAATCTCTGTAATTAGGAAATGCAGCAACAATTCAATGGTAACTTAGACAGATGGCACTTAGAGTAATCAAATAGTCAACTTACTGCTGTCTCCATTTTTTTACCATTGCACCATACGTCCATAGTGTCTTTTTCTGTAAAAGTAAAATAAAATTTGTAAAAGTTATTCTGTGATTTAAAGATAAAGTTAACTTTTCCTATTTATTATTTTAGGAAAGATTTGATATACCAGATCTCTAAAATTCCATTAATATTTTAAAACCCAACACTTTTTCATGGCTTTCATGGTTTTGAGACTCTCGTAAAATTTGAAGAAGCTGTGTTTGTTCTTTGTTCATAAAACTATAATGAAACAAAACAACCTTTTAAGAAAGTTATAGTCCTAATACAAATTGATTAAGTTTTGGATCTTTCAAACGGGAGGGCAACAGACTCCCAAGAATATTGTTGTTAAGAATGAAAAGAAGGGTGGTCACAGCTGCTTACACCTATAATCTCAGCACTTTTGGATGCTGAGGCAAAGGGATCATTTGAGCCCAGGAGTTCAAGACCAGCCTGGGCAATATGGTGAGACCCTGACTCTAAAAAAAAAAATTTATTTATTTATTTTTTTTTTTGAGAGAGAATCTTGCTCTGTCACCCAGGCTGGAGTGTAATGGCATAATCTCAGCTCACTGCAACCTCTACCTCCCGGGTTCAAGCAATTCCCCTGCTACAGCCTCCCAAGTAGCTGGGACTACAGGCTTGTGCCACTACACTCGGCTAATTTTTGTATTTTTAGTAGAGATGGGGTTTCACCATGTTGGCCAAACTGGCCTCAAACTCCTGACCTCAGGTGATCCACCCACCTTGGCCTCCCAAAGTTCTGGGATTATAGGCATGAGTCACCACGCCTGGCAATGTTACATGTTTGTTTGTTTGTTTTATTTCGATTTATTTACCACTATATGATCACAGCAGTTACATGTTTTTAAAACCTAAATTTATAATCCTCAAATCCATCCCTATAAAACTTGGCTTAAGATATCTTATATAAAAAATGGTGGATTAAATCAATGTGTCATTCACACAGGACACATTAGAAATACACCTGCTGGACAATATACACACCGGCTAGACAATCTCAAGCAGGTGGGAAACAAAAAGATTTTTAAAAATGTTTTTAAACAAATGAAATACACCTGCACGTACACTCTCTCTCCTTTTCAAAGCTCCATAGAAGGTCTGAATCGTTACAGGAATTAAACAGACATTATCTTTTAAAAAAAACAATGAGTTCTGCAGAAACAGCACTAACTTACCCAAAACAACTCTAAAGTTCTCACCGTCCATGTGTAATACCCAAGTATTGGTGGTTTTTGATCTGTTCTCCATATACTTCTTGAGACTTCTCCCATTAATTTCCAGAGTATATTCATAAGCAAAACCACTGATAGCATCTATATTTATGGTTGCTTTTGTCTTTGCAGCTCCAACATAGAATGTCTCTTTGCCCACTAATTTGAACATCCATTCTTTTCTTATCTCTTCCTACATAATAAAATAGAAAAATTTAAGACATTCAAATGGAAGAAAAATTAATGTTTAATTTTAGAAATAATGTAAAGTGAACAAAGGCAATGCCATTTAGATATAATTTTATTTATTTATGATGCCAAGGTTTTAGAAAATAAAAGCATTTTAAGTTTAAATATTACATGTTCTATTCCATGAATTCCATAAATATTATTAGTTTGCTCTACACAGAAAAATGACATGGATCAAAAACATTATTGACTATAAGGAAAAAAAAAGCCCTGAATTCACATATGAAGATGCTACTTTAACAAAATCGTTTCTCTATATATCATATTTTACAAAGTAACATATTTTCTTCCTACCTTCCCATCTACATATACTACTCGTTTGCCTGATGTAGTCCCATGTTCAAATTCAATCTTGTGGACTCCGTCACTTAAAGCAACATCCCAAACAGCTACGAGATCTGTCATTTTTTCAAGGCTGTAAGGAGGGCTAAAGGAATAAAATAAACCAATTATAGTGGGCCAAAATACTAATTAAATAACCAGTTACTCCTTCCAAGATGAAAATTAGATTATTAAAACCTCTAAAATTTCAAAATATTAAAGTGATAGTACCTAAGAAATTCTACTCACAGTACATGTAACTATTTTCTCCCTCTTATCCACTCTTCCTTTAAGATACAACTACTATATGTGGGCACATAGTCCGATTACGTCTAAAAAATCCATCTTAATAGGATTAAGAATCCATCAGTATATCCTGGTTAGTATTCTAGGTTGACTACAGTATAGTGCATGGAAAGCTCAGTAAAAAGTCTTTACTCTTCTCCTACCAGCTCCCATTTAAAAACCATGATATTTAATTTCATTTATCTTTTTCAGATCTAATCACTCTAAAACAAGAACTCTCCAAACCTCCCATACTTAAACTAATACAAGGGATTTGTTTTAACAAAAAGATTTTAATTTATTATACTAAGAAAAAAAGTCATGGAAGAAATATTCTATAATAAAGATAAAAATAATTTAAAAATGTTATGGGAAACATTCTTGGCATTAATACAGGAAATCTTATTTTAAAAAATAAAGGATTTGGGGCCGGGTGTGGTGGCTCATGCCTGTAATCCCAGCACTTTGGGAGACTAAGGCGGGCAGATTGAGTCCACGAGTTCCAGACCAGCCTGGGCAACATGGTGAAACCCTGTTTCTACAAAAATATTAGCCACACATAATGGTGCATGCCTGGAATCACAGCTACTTGGGAAGCTGAGGTGGGAGGACCACCTGAGCCCAGGAGGTGAGACTACAGTACGCCATGATTGCATCACCATGTTCCAGCCCAGATGAAAGAGTGAGACTATCTCAAAAATAAAAAATAAATAAAGGATTTGGTTTGTCAGACATTTCTGGCATATACTTCAACATATATTTTTGATGTTAATATATCCTCTGTGAATGACATATACATATATAATATCTAATTAATATTTTGATATTGGTAATCTTTTTAGCTTTGGCAGAAGTATCATTTATTATAGTAACGATGATCACAGCTAACAGTTATTAAGTGATTACTGTGTGACAGTCACTGTTCTAAGAGCTTTAAATATATTAACTCACAGAATCACCATGAGATGGGTACTATTAATATCCTTATTTTATAGATGAGGCTAGAGGGGCTAAGGGTTTACCTAAGGTTTCAATGACATTAAGTGGCAGAGGTAGGATTTAAACCTAGGATTCTGGCTTCAAAGCCTGTTCTCGTAACTACATCTTCCTCTTTGTTCACCCTAATCTTTGTATGCTCTCAGTTGAAGATGTTAAATGGATTTGATACCATTTTGAAGTGGTTGCCAAGAACTCTGTGCTGAGAGATATGAGGAGACCTCACATCAAGGCTCTACGGAAATAGTTGCCATGTTACTGGTGGCTACCTCCACGCCAGGTATTTACTACTCCCGCTCTAAATCACACAAAAGCAGAACCACACAATCTGCAATTTTACAAAATGTATTCTTAACAGAGTAGCTTGGATAAATTGCTCTTTTGAATGATAACAGTCTTGAAAATGTCAAAGGCTAGTTTACTGCAATAGAAGACATTTACCTTTCATCATCTTCAAAGATAGGACTGTCATCTCCAGATGCCATGGTTGGCAAAAACAGTCTTTAATCCAATTAGCAGCCAGAAAAGAAAAAAGCAGAATTGCAGCAAAGAAAGATTGAAAGCAACAATGATGACATCTACAAAGGGTTTTTCTAATTTTGCAGTCCATTTATTAAATTACATGGAGCTTATGATGAAACAGCTTCTACATACAATAGAACTGTAATCTTTAATTTACAGAGAAAGATGTTAAATCATGCAAATCAGTCATATTTTTCCCTGTTACAGATTTATAATTTCTTAAAGGTATACTTTATTAAAACTCTAGTTTATTGCAAGTATTATAGCATATCAGATCTGCAAGATACCTAAGAGATCCTCTGCGTCCCATGCTTCTCAAACTGAAGCACAAGAAGCCCCAAGGGTATGAGGCAGTGAGTCAGGGAATACATCAAACTCCAGGATAAACACAATGCACCTTCTGGGAACATCACTGTTAAAGTGGTAACTAATTTAAAATCTAATCTTTATTTTAGAAGGCTACACTATGGTGGAACATAATTTTTAGTATCTTTGTGTGTTTAGATAACTTCAAAGAACTGATGAGTTTGCAAGAAGCAGACAGGGATATGCTGGTCTGCTCTCAAAGAGTGAATTTAATTTATCCATTACTTAAGCCCATTTAATTTACTAGTACCAATGATGAATCCACAAAAGTTATGTGGCTTGCTCACATCACTAGCAGGATCCAAGCCAGAACTAGAGCCCAGTACTATGCAATAAACTAAACAGTACCTGGCTGCAGCGTTAATCAAGCTTTACTAAAATCAGAAGTGCGCACAAAATCACATGCATAGGAAACCCTCACATTTGAAGATTTGGGATTAACAGTTTCACTCCTGCCAAAGTATCCTAAATTCAACTATTTTTTGCTTCCAAGATCTACCCTAGTTTAGCCCTTTCTTTAGTGCCTGTTATTTACAGATGCTCAAGAATGCTGTCTCCTGGTGAAAAATGGGAGGTTGCTAACCCTCTCTGGATGGAAACAGCCAGAAGTCACAAATTATTAAAAAACTTTTTGTTTTTGAGACAGAGCCTCATTCTGTTCCCCAGGCTGGAGTGCAGTGACACGATCTTGGCTTACTGTAACTTTTGCCTCCTGTGTTCAAGCGATTCTCATGTCTCAGCCTCTTGAATTACTGGAATTATAGGCACATACCACCAAATCCAGCTAATTTTTTGTATTTTCAGTAGAGATAGGGTTTTGTCATGTTGGTCAGGCTGGTCTCGAACTCCTGGTCTCAAGTGATCCACCCACCTCAGCCTCCCAAAGTGCTGGGATTACAGGCATGTGCCACCACATACCCAGCCAAAAAGTTATTAAAGAAGAAATTAGCACTCATAAAAGCAATCCAACAGGCCAGAAAAGTTAAGGATTTCAGAATAAAAACTAGGTAAATATTTGTACCTAATATAAATTCCTGTTTTTTAAAATTAGCACCACACAAATTTGTGAAATTTTCTACTCTTAAGAAGCTCTTAGCTGGGCATGGTGGCACGTGCCTGTAATCCCAGCTACTCAGGAGGCTGAGGCAGAAGAATTGCCTGAACCCAGGAGGCGGAGGCTGCGGTGAGCCGAGATCGCGCCATTGCAGTCCAGCCTGGGTAACGAGAGCGAAACTCCGTCTCCAACATAAGTAACAAGAAAAATAGATACAAAAAAAGAAGCTCGAGGATTATACCCTAGGAAACCAGAGGGTATCATACAACAATAAAAACAAAAAGAATACATAGCAATAAAATAAGCCAGCCAGGCATGGTGGTATGCACCTGTAGTCCCAGCTACTCGGGAGGGTAAGGTGGGAGGATCGTTTGAGCCTAGGAGTTAGAGGCTGCAGTGCATGGCTGCAGTGGTCGTGCCACTGCACTCCAGCCTGGGTGACAAGAGTGAGACCCTGTCTCAAAACAGATATATATGTGTTTTATATATATATATATATAGAGAGAGAGAGAGAGACAGAGAGACTGATATATATATTATAGATACATAGATAGTATAATTATATGTACTGCAGCCTGGGTGACAGGTATATATACATAGATAGCGATATATATAGATACAAGTATCTGTTTTGAGACAGGGTCTCACTCTGTCAATCTAGGCTGGAGTATATATAAAGAATATATATATTTATATACATATTATGTGTATTATACATATTTACATATCATAAATATTATACATACGTGTAATATAATATTTATATATTATATGTACATATATATAAAATAAGCCAAACAGCACAATACAAACTTTGATAAGGCATCCTTTTTAAATTAGAATGTATTTAGAGGTACTATTCAAGTTTTGCTCTATAATTTTCAGAGACTCTAGTAAGTTCATTAATGCAGGCATTCAAACCTAAAATAACTGCTCTGTTTTCTATTATAATGAATTCCAAATACTACTAAATCACACTAAGATACAAACTCTTATTATAATACCTTTCCATGGAGAAGTATAAAAGGCAATTTTAGAAGAAAGATTAGAGATTATGATCACATTAAAACATTTTTTTCTTCTCTTAACTGTGAACAATGATTCAGACATTCAATAATTATTTAAGGACTACCTAAAAAATTGCAATTTTTCGGCCAGGCGTGGAGGCTTACGCCTGTAATCCCAGCACTTTGGGAGGCCAAGGCAGGTGGATCACGAGGTCAGGAGATTTTGAGACCATCCTGGCCAATATGGTGAAGCCCCATCTCTACTAAAAATACAAAAATTAGCTGGATGTGGTGGCGCATGCCTGTAACCCCAGCTACTCGGGAGGCTGAGGCAGGAGAATCACTTGAACCAGGAAGTCGGAGGTTGCAGTGAGCCAAGATCATGCCACTGCACTCCAGCCTGGTGACAGAGCAAGACTCCATCTCAGGAAAAAAAAAAAAAAAAAAGCAATTTTTTTTTAACTGAAAGTGTACCTGATAGGAGAGAATTATAAACAAAGATAAAAGTAAGTACTGAAGCAATTATCTAGCAAATTTGAAGCATTCTAATTCTACTTATATAACTATGTATCAAAATTGATGTTTATTATTAAACAAGTTTATGAATCAATATAAAATTTTGTTACTCTCTTTGCCTGTTTTCCTCTGATTAAGAAAAATGCTGCTTCAATATAAAGTTAGTAATATTTCAGTTTTCTTGTTGGTGCTATCCATTATTTTTAGCAAAACTCTAAAAAAACTTTTTATAAATGGTTCATAATTATAAAATATTTTTATAATTACTCCTTGGAGTGTGCATGGTGGCTCATCCCTATAATCCCAGCACTTTGGGAGTCTGAGACAGGAGAATCACTTAAAGCCAGGAACTCGAGACAAGCCTGGTCAACATAGTGATGGCAAAAAAATTAGTTAGGTGTGGTGGCACGTCACTGTAGTCCCAGCTACTAGGGAGGCTGAGGCGGGAGGATCGCTTGAGTCCAGGGGTTTGAGACTGCAGTGAGCCATGACCACACTATTGCACTCTAGCCTGGCCAACACAGCAAGACCCTGTTCCAAAAGCAAAAAAACGACGACGAAACAAGAATTATTCCTTGGAACATTAAAAGTATATTTAGCTTATAAAAGGTTGCAATACTTCAAATTTTGTACCATTTTAAAAGGCAGAAATTAACTTTAAGAAGTGCTTTCTATGCAAGGATTAAAGTGACCCCTATCTTATAACTGCCGTAACCAAAATATGAGAGAGTCATAAAATTATCAGCACTGGAAAACAAAAAAACAATGAAATTACCTGGTCTAGCCTCTCTCCTTCATTATGGGGAAATCAGTAACACATATCCCTCCAAATCCCATCTCCACTGCCAGTCCTGGGTTCTTTTACCTGTCCAACTTTCTAACAAGGCTGTAGAGGTTTCCAATAATGCACACAGAGTAAACTTTTCAAATGATCTTACTGCAAAAAGTAATTCC